GCTGTATTTAAGGACACCGGCCCCCCCCCGCCCCCCAAGCCCACCTCGGGGCCCATTAAAGGTGGAGAGAGGACTGGGGTCTCTGTGTCGTTGGGCGCCTGACGGGGTCTCTCTACCAATGTTCCCGGACTCCCGCTCCATCTGCCACCTCCTGTCTCTCTCCACCATTCATTTGCCCCGCCTCAGACACTTAGCAAGCACTTGTTAGGTTTCACGTACTCCTGGTAAACACTAGACTTATTTATTGAGCACTTTGGGCCTTGTTCTAAGTGCCTATACCAATTAACTCACTTAATCACCATAACAAAGCTCTGAGATACTTGGGACTCTAATAATGCCCACTTTAAAGGTGAGGAAACTGAAGCCCAGAGAGGTTAAGAGAATAGTTCCTGCCCAGAAAGGAACTAGTAGTTGCTTCCTCAGAAAGGAACCTACTTTCTGGGGAAGAGACAGGCATGGTAAGTGTCATGAAGACAGGAAAGCAGGATGGATGGAGTGAGAGATGGAGGAGGGAGGGCTTCTCAGAGGAGGTGGCTTTTGGGACTTGAAGGCAGCTTAGGGAAGGATGAGGGAGAGAGTTCTTGGTAGGAGGACAGAAGGAAAGGCCTGGAAGTGAGGATGAACTTGGGGTGAGGGGAAGAGGAACAGGGCCAGTGTGGTTGAAAGGGAGGGGCAAGGGGAAGGGTGTTGGGAGCTGAGTCAGATGCTAACACTCACAGGCCAGAGAGTAATAACAATCCTCCATGCCAGGTATGAATCTACCAGCTCACTGCACTCTCCCCACAGTGCAGCAGAGCAGGGCTGGCAAACTACAGCCTGCAGGCACATTCTGACCCGCTGCCTCTTTTTGTAAATAAAGTTTTTTTGGAGCACAGCCATGAATCGGATCATCTCTGGCTGTTTAAGTGCTACAAGGGCAAAGTCAAGAAGAAGCTATATGCAAAGTCAAAAATATCTGCTATCTGGCCCTTTATAGAAAAATCTTGCCAACTCCTGCTATAGAGACCACTTTACAGATGGGACTACTGAGGCACAGAGAGGTTACTTGTTAGCTCACAAGCAGCAGAGCTGGGACTTGAACCAGGCAGCAGGAGTTAACGGTCTCTGCACTGGTACTGCTTCCCAGACCACATCAGCCCTGTGGGATGTGGGAACCTGTGAGACTTTGTACCTGGGGAAGCTGGGAGACATGACAGGATTCTGTACAGAGGAGGGGTGTGATTTGACTTAGGTGCTCAGAGATCCCTCTGGCTGATGGGTGAGAGTAGACTGAATGGGGCCACAGGTGACTGCAGGAAGAACAGTGGTTCAGGTGAGAGATGCTGGTGCCCCGGCCAGGGTGGGCTTCCCTCTGGGCCTTGTTTCTTCTCATCTGCTGTCATCTTGCTTGTGAATTCTCCCCTGCTTCCTCTTTATCTGGCATCTTGGTTTCCCCTCCTCCTCCCAGGTTTCATTTCCTTCATCTGTCCCCTACCCTTCCCAGATCCCGGCCCTGAACTACTGCCTTGTCCAGAGGTGCCCTGGGGGAGGGCTGTGTGCGTTTGAGGTTCCTTTGCTCGTGGGCAGCACTAGGTCTGGGTGAGTGGGCCATGGGATCCTCCCAGCCCAGCCCAGCCCAGGTCTGGGAGCCACAGAGGGCTGGGTGGGGTGGGGGCAGGAGGAGTTCACTATGCAAGGAAATGCAGCCATTGTCACCGGCCTCCTGTGTGGGGACGCTTGAAAGGAGACAAGGACATGTAGTCATTGCAGCCCTGTGAGATGGGGCACCTGTGTGCACACATTCACATATACAGGGGTTGAAGTATGGACAGTGTCCCACAGCTACACAAACACACTCACCTCTCAGCCACAATGAACACTCCGAAATTCCTACAGGACACCTGGCGGCAGGCACGGCCCACGTGTGCCACACACATACACAGCCCAGCCTGGAGCCTCACTAGGACCCAGCGCAAGCAGAGATGTCAATAGGGATAAAGCAAAACACACCCACACAAATACATCCTGTAGGGTCACGGTCACAACCACCACACACCAGACACAGGTTCAGAGACAGTGCCGCACACAGACACCTCACAGCACAAGGAAATGAAACAAGCTCCGGCAGGGCCACCAGCAGTTTACACAAACATCCTCTATGGATGGGGTCATAGTCACAAATGGGCACACGACCTGACCCGTCACAGTCCCACCCAGACACACACCACACAGGGAGATCTGACACATCACGATCACACAGACTGCGAGGTAGTCATGCCCACTCAGTCTGACATTTCACAGCCCCACACACTCAAGCCTGGGGAGTCCCACACGGCCCTGCAGACGGCCATAGTCAGACACACTGTCACAACCCAGGTCCCAGACGGAAGCAGTCCCACACCCCCAGACACACCCCCAGGGTCGTGGCCCTCACACGCCCAGCTCGTGCCTGGGCCCCAGGACAAGTTCTGGCTGCACCCTGGGGATTCACTCACAGTCCCAGTGCCGAGTCCTGGCCACTCCCTCGTGACACACCCCGCCCACCTGCCTGCTGCCAGAGAAACTTTCGGGCTCAGCACCTTCTCACCACCCTTCTCACCACGTGAGTGCTGCTCCTGCCCCCACCCTCCTCACCGGGGTGGCCAGGCCCTGTAGGGACAAGCAGCTCAGGCCCCCAGCCAACTCACAGGGGCAGGACAGGGGGTTCAGGGCGCCCAGCTCCCCTCCCCCACCCTTGCGAGCAGCCCAGGCTCGGGGAGGGAAGTTGTGGGGGGAGAGCCTGGGTTCCGGCTGGAGCCCCAGCTTCCTATCCAGCCCCCACAAGGCAGGAAGCAGGGCCAGGGGAGGCCAGCTCAGGCCTTCCTGCCCCCTCCCCCAGACAGGCCTGGGACTGGGGTCAGTGGGTGAGAGACAGACAGGCAGCCCCCTGCCCCCTAAATCTGAGTGTTGGTCTCCAGTGTTTTTAATGTGAATTTGAATGTGTTCAGGACCCATTTGTGTGTGTCCCCAAGCTTTGTGGGGTGAGTTGTGTGTCTAGCACGGGGGTCGCTAACATACCGGTAGGCTGAGCACCCGCAGGCTGTTGGGTGTGGGAGGGGATTTTCCGTGTGTGTGCTCCCAGCATGCGTTCAGTGCCGTGTTGGTGACTGCGCATTCCTGCTGTGCGGCTGCTGTGCAAGTTGGTATGCTCTCTGGGCTCTGTGTCCTGACACGTGTGACTTGGGAGGTCTGTGTGTACCATAGGGTCGCATGCCTGGGGCGTGTTGTGTGTCTGGATTGTTTTCTTGTCATCTTTGCTCTCCACCTTCGGGTGTGTTTGTGCATCCTCAGTAAGTTTCACTTGAAATGTGGGTTTTCTGTGTGTTTCTGGGCCTGTGAGAAAGGTGTTTCCAGAGGTGTGTGTGTTGTTTCTTACACATGAGCTGTGTTTTCAGTGTGTGTAACAGTTCCTGAAGTCTGTGGGCGAGCTGTTTCTGGGCTACACTGTGCGCCCAGTGTGTACGCTGCTGGGGTTCTGAGTATGTTTGTGTGTCCACGGGGTGTGACTCCAGCATACTTGCTGCCGTTCTCCTGGATGGTGTGTGTGTGTATGAGTGTGCCCATTGCGGGGACTGGTGTTCTCAGCCTCTGCAGTTGTCTCTGAGCAGGTGGTGTCTGTATTGTGTCCCCACATGGGCTGGTGGCTTGTGAGCACTTGTGTGGGTCTCTGTTTTGCCTCGCTTTCCAGGGCATTTTGAGTTCTCAGTGGGGTGTGTGTGTTCATGTTCATGAGTGTTTTATGCTGGTGTTTCCAGGGAGGGGGGAATCGTGCATCCTCAGTGAAGCCGCTGGCATCCTGGGCACCGGGCCCAGTGGCCTCCAGGCTGAGTGGAGGCTGCATCTGCGGTGTCCCCTTGCTGGCTGGTGCCACGTTGGCTCGGGCTGACTGCAGCGGGCAGGGCAGGGCAGGGGCTGTGGTGGGCACTGGACCCGCGCCCAGCCCTCGGTATAAATATCCCAGGCTGCCGGCGGCAGTGTTTACTCTGTCCCAGCCTGGGGGTGGCGGCAGCCCAGCAGGTCCTGGGGGCCGGTTGGGGGTGGTGGTGACCAGGCCACAGCGCAGACACTTCCTTCTGGCCAGACAGGCCGCAACCTCACTGCCCCTTCCCGCCCCCTTTCTGGGTGGGGGTTACCCCTCATTCTGGGCTCCCAGGAGCCACCAGTGAACCTCTAACCTGGACGTCCCCTCTGGGCTCCCAGGGTTTGGGAGCCAGAGAAGAGGGGTCAGAGATGGAGATGGGCTTGGGGGGAGGGGGGCGTGGGCCAAGAGAGACAGCAGGAGGAGGGATAGGAAAAAATGAGGGCAAATAGGAGCAGGAGTGACAGAGGGAGGGGAGGCCCTGACAGAAAGGCAGGGGAAACGGGGTCAGGAGACAGTGACGGAAGCTCAGGCCTGTGATGCAGGGAGTGACGAGGGAGAGAAACGAGGCAGAGGCCCAGGAACAATGAGGAAGAGAAGGGACTAAAGGTCGACAGTGACAGCCGGAGAGGTGCAGAGACAGAATGAAAGGGTGACGGAGAGCAGGGTGGGGGACAAAGGAAGGAGTGAAGCAGGACAGAGGACAGAGCACGCAATGGAGCAGAGGCTCATGGAGTTCATGTCCACTTTGGCAGGAGGCAGAGGTGGCAGACGTGGGGGTGGCAGCCACGACAGACAGGAGACTGGGGGTGGGGGCCGGATGCGCACTGAGGGGCTCTCCTCAGGCAGGGCCCTCCCTCCCTGACTCAGCCTCTCCACCCACCCCAACCCCAGACCCGGGAGCTAGGAACAGGCCACTGGGGCACCTCCAGGTCTGAGGCTGTGACCTGCGGGAGGTCTCTCCATCCCTCTTGACCGGCCCCACCTCCATCTCAGCTAGAAATTGTCATCTCCACCACCTGACTCATCCTAATTCTTAATCAACGGCTGTGTTCACTTAAAAAAAAACACCTAACAAATTTACGTACGGCAAAGTACATCACAAATTTAATGATCGAATGATCAGTGAAAAATGTGCACGAAGGGCTGATGCCTGGAATACGAGCGCTCACAACCTGAGGGCACGGGCACAAGTACCAGGAGAGGTCTCTCCTGAGTCAGCCTGGCTGGACTGCCCTGGCCCCTCTGGGAGGGGATTATCAATACTGAGAGCAGGAGGCACACAGGACGCAGTGATGGTTGTGATTCAAATACTGACTTCTCCATCAAGATGATTCGGTCATGTCTATGTGGAGGACAGTGTCTGGCACCAGAGGTGCCCAAAGCTTAGCTGCTATCCACAGCTAACTCTTCTGTCTTCCCATCTGAGGACGTCTGTGCATCCGCCCACCTAGTGGCCCAACAGCTGACAGGCAGGCCGGAGAGCTCTCCAGGGCTTGTGCTTTCAGACCTGCGTTTCCAATGGCTGCCCTCCTTCCTGGGCCTCCCTTGACCCCTCTATGAGCTGAGTCTCTAGTTTACAGGGCTGTCTGGAGGATTCGGTGCACCTCATCTGGGCCTGGCATAGAATAGAACTGCTCAGAAACCAGAACTTTCCTTTCCTTAAGTCTCACTGGACAGCCTGAATGTCCCTCGGCGCCCGTCCAGCTCTCACTTTCTGTGTCTGGCTCTAATTCTGGTTGACCCAGAAGGCGCAGCTGAGTCTAGGAGGGTCAAGAGCCATGCCCCTAGGTGGTCTCGAGGTCTCTGCTCACTCTGGGCCCAGGAGGCAGCTGGGAGAGTCCTTCAGGCTTGGCTCTGGAAGGATGCCACCACTCCTGCGCACAAGACTGAGAGGTCCCCAGACCCCACCTCCCTGACCCTTGGCTGTGCCCTCCTCCAGCAGACGGCCCTTTTCCATGTGTGTCTACCGGAGGAGCATGAGCTGGGTGTGGGGGCATGGGAAGGCGGGATGCCTGGGTTCCCACAGGCCTGGGGCTGAGTCACCAGGCGGCCATCTGGCTCGCATTAGCCCGGGGAGGCAGGGGGCTCCGTGGGGCGGGCCCTGTGGCTGGCTGGGGCAGAGACGAGGGGCAGCCTGTGTGTGGGGGATGACTCAGGACCCATGATAACAGCCTGTGCGTATTTGGGGAGTGTAAACAGGAGGGAGAGGGAGGCAGAGGAAGTGAAGAAAGGGAAAATTGTGGCTGGGCAGAGGGGGGCCGTGGGCTGGGAGGGGAAAGTCCCCGACCTCCCTATACCCCTCCCCCCACACCCAAGCTGGCAGGCCCATGATTCCCAGTGCTTCTCCTGCCCACCCCGCCCAGGCCTGGGTCCTGATGGAGAGGTAACAGCTGTGGCCACCTCTGTGGTCTCCCCCCTGCCTGCAGTGAGGCCATACTCAGCAGCCAGCCTGGGAATGGCACTGAACCCCAGAGATAAAGGCTTACAGACAGAGACAGCACAGAGGCCAAGATGGAAACGGACTGACAGGAAGAACCATAGGCCCACAAGGCTGACGGAAAGAAGGGAACATAACAGAGGCAAGGAGGGCTGGACACACACAGGACAGGTGAATGACAGGCCGGGACCAGAAGGGGAGACAGTGAGCTGCTCTGGGGCCAGGGATCAGCCTGACCCCAAGTTGGGCACTGGTGTCGACCTGGCTGGCTCTAGCTACAAAGGGCCCTGCTGGCCTTGGGCAAGTGGAGGTTCACTCTGTTGTGGGGAGAGAGGCCAAGGCACAGAGTGAGGAGAAAAACAAAGGCAAAGAGGAAAAAAATGAGACTGAGGTGGAGAGAGAGACAGAAAGCAGAAGACAGAAAGGCAGGGAGAAAAAGAGACCAAAGACAGAGAAAGAAAGCCAGAGAAACAGCAATGAAGGCGGGGAAGCAGGGCTGGGCTGGGGGAGGCAGGGAACTGCAGACACAGTGGGAGGGGCAGCGGGAGATGGGACCAGACCCTGTGAGGCTGGCGGGTGGGCAGCTGCGCTGGGGCCCCTAGAGAAAGTCCGAGCCAGCCTCCGGTCAGCTGCCTTGTTTCAGTGGGGTAGGGCGGGGGGCCAGGCCATCAGTCCCCATCTGGCTCTGGGCTAGGCGCGTCCTCAGGCTCCTCTCCGTCAAAGTACCTCTCCTCCTCATCCCGGGCCACGATGTCCAGGTTGTCAAAGTCGGGGTTATCGTCCACAGTGCTGCAGAGAGGGGGGCTGTCAGTCTGGTGCTCCCCTGTGCCCCAGTCTCCACCTATCTGCTCCTCAGCCTTTGGAGAAGCTGGGGACATGGCTCAGGACCCCTGAGATCAAAGGCCCATACGCTGGCAGCTCTAAGTCCCAGCTAACCCCTGGTGAGGGATGTTGCGTATCTCAGGGATTGAAATCAGAGATTTTACATAAAAACTTCTGGTTTCTCTTGAAAAGCTGGAAGGTGTGGTGTGGTGACACTGGGGCCCACATTCCCAAGGCAGTGGTTCTCAACCAGGAAGGCTTTGTCCCCCCAGACGACATCTGGTGATAACTGGAGACATTTGGTTGTCACAACTACAGGGCTGCGACTGGAACCCAGAGGGTGGAGGCAGGGGCATTACTCAGCGTTTTGGTGCACAAAGTAAAGCCCCCTGCACAAAGAATTATGCTGAGGCCCGAAACTGCACTAAGGGGACAAGTGATCCTAAACTGCAAGCCTGGCCCCACTCCAAATTCTCCCTCAGCTCTTCTCAAGCTCACTTCCATGCAGAAAGCACTGTCTGATCTGCTGCCCCCTCTAATGAGACCTCCTAGCCCTGCCTGGTCCGGCCACTCGGGGAGCCTTACTACTCCTCTGTGCCACCTCAGGGCTCTTGCATCTGCTGTTCCCCCTGCCAGGAACACTCTTCCCCCAGATATTTGTTGCTTACCCCTCACTTGTTGCTCAGAGGGCCTTCCCCGGCTACCTTATCTCCCCCTTCTCCCTTCACTTTTCTTCATGGCCCATCACCAACAAATGCTTGCTGTTTGTTTTCCTTACTATAGTGGGAACCCCTTCAGGGCAGGGAACCTTCTCATAGCTTTTGTTCCCTGCTTTATCCCCAGCCTGGACACAGCAGCCACTCAGCATGAGGTGGCTGACAACCAGGAGGGACCATGCGGCAATGATGCCCAGCAGCGCCCTCTGGAGAGGGGACTGGCTTCAGTCCCTACCATTCCCCATTCCTCACGCCAGGCCCAGGTTCCTTGTGGGTTTTACCACAGCAATGGTTCCCTGAGGGCTCCCATGGCCCAGGCGCTCGCTCACTGCCCTGTGGAAACTCAGGCTATGAGGCTGGCCCTGGCTGGAAGTGATCAGCTGGACTAGACTCCAGAGCCCAGGCACTGAGATTGGGCCAGTGATACTGTCTCTGGCTCTGCGTGGGCCAGGGGCTGTTGTGATCCCCATTCAGCTGATGTGCCACCAAAGTCTGCTTGTTCACATGGTATCAGAGCTGGTTTGAAACCAGGGCCCTCTGTTGCCACACCGCCACTGGGGACCACAAGGCGAGACTGCCGCAGACAAACCACTTCTCTCTGGTTCTGATGTTTCGCTGTGCCCTTCTCCCTGGTGGCAAAGTCCTTTTCAAAGCAGGTGGCCATGCACCTCGCCCCTGGGGTTACACTGGAGAAATTATCTACCAGCACTGCAGGGGCACTCACCACAGGCTCCTCCCTGCCACACATTAGCTCTGCCAGGGATCACTTCCTGCAGCATGAGGAGGTGTGGGGTCCTGGGGGACACTTGGGAGGCCTGGGGGTAGTGGCACCCTGCCAGAACACCCCACTTGCCAGAGTAGGAATGTCTCAATGCTTTATCAATACCAAGTTGAATGTCAGCCCTGCTCATCCCTTCCTCACATTTGGAGGACAGAGGCTCTCAGATGGACAAAGCTCGTCCAAGGTCACCCACTGATCTTTGGCTGATCTGAAACCCTGAGGCTGTCTGACCCCAGGGCCCACAGCCTGGAACTGTTCTGGGGCCTTCTAGCACCACAAAGGGAGGCCCTCCATGGAGGTGCCCGGGATCTGGCATGTGGTTGAGGGCTGTAGGGTGCTGGGTTAGGGGATGGGGAGGTGGGGCACAAAGCACCTGTAGTCAAAGTCCCCGTCCTTGCCGTCCAGGAAGCGCTGGTGCATGCGGCTGGTGAACTCTTCCCGCAGGATCAGCCTCTCCTCTGAGTCAGGTACCCAGGTCTCTGAGTCTCTGCCAGGACTCTGGTCTGTGGAGGAGACATCCACAGTGCAGGAGTGTGAGGGCTACACTCAGGTAGGCACTGAACACAGTCCAGAGAGCTGCCTCCTTTGTACTGGGTGGCAATGGGAACACAGCAGTGACCAGAAAGCCTGTAGTCCCTGCCCTCCTGGAGAACACACCAAGCACATAATGACAACCAGTCTCTGGGGGCTGGAGAACAGGGTCAGAACTGGACATATGAAGGGGGGTGAAGGGAAGGCATAGGGACAGGAGCAAAGGCGGGGAGGTGAGGGATTCCTTGGTGCTTTTGAGGACTGGGGGCAGAGATGCAGGAGGATGGGATAGGCTAGGGCACACAGGGCACCTGGGTCAGGCAGGGGAGGGACTCGATGTCTGCTCTTGCAGATGGGGCCCAGCCTGGGAGACAGGCAGGCCCAGGACTGTGAAGTTCGGATACTGGGGCCCCCTGCTGCTGGCTCTCACCTTCCTTGTCACTGTCCTCCTCTTCTTCCTCCTCCTCCAGGCAGGCCTCCTCCTCCTCCTGCTGCTGGAGCAGCCGTTGCTGCAGTTCCCGCTCTTGGTAGGACTGGAGCAGCAGGTCAGACAGCGGGCAAGCAGGCGTGCCAGGGGAGCCTGGCTTGGGTGGCTGCTGGGCCGGGGTGCGGGCACTAAGCTCCTCCTGGGTTAGGTACTGCCCGATGTACTGCTCATACAGCAGTGGAGCCCGGAACCGCATCTGCTCATCACTGAAGTACTCGCCCTCTGCACAGAGACAGGGTGGGGTGAGGAGCCCGTGGATGAGGTCAGGGGCTGCATGTAGGGTGAAGGTGTCTGAGCAGACGTATATCCATGCGTGTGTGTGATCAGGCTGGTAGGAAGACATGAATGCCTAAGTGTGAGTGTGTACACATTCAAAAATGTAGGAAAATATACAGATGCCTGAGGTCCTGTGGCCACCAGTACTCACGCATGCCTCTGAGCACATGTGTGTGACCAGGCCCATATCTGCACGTGTACTCATGTGTCCAAGCATGTGTGCAGAGTCAGGCCCATGAACATCTGCCCCTAGTGGCCTGGGGCCCCTGGACAATGCGCCAGGCAGGACTCACAAGCTCCTGCCCGCATCCTCCCACGGCTGTCAGCACACTGCCATGGGTACCTGTGTAACTGGAGTTGGAGCAGGATGTTGCAGGCAGATGTATGGGCAGTCTCTAAGCTGTGTGGGCCTGTCTGTTGAGCCTCATTCTGGCAGTTGGTGCACACATCTGGCACGAAAGTGTACATCTGTGTGGAGCTGGCACATGTGTGCATGGGATAAGGTAGGCCAGGGCCTCTGCCCAGGTGTACTGTTCCTGGTGGTCTTTCAGACCCCAGACCTCACCTCTCCCTAGTGTTCCTCTCTGCAGCCACCCCCCAGGTGGGCCTGGTATCCCCATCACCCCAAACCCAGGTCCTCTGCATCTCTCCTGGCTGCTTGTTCCTGCATGGGCAGCTCTGTCCCTCAGAAAAGTTAAACCAAGCTTGGCCCCTCCCACCCACTGGTCCTAGCCCTACCTTCAGAGCCCAGGGTGGGAATCTACCCAAATCCTGGCCTCTGGAGCACCAGTGGTGAATGTCCCTGTCCTACCTTCCATCTTGCCCTCTCTTACGCCCAGCTTTTATGTTTCTCAACAGATTCTGTTTTCTCCCTCCTTTTCCCTGACTGTCACCCTCTTTCTGGGTCTGTTTTTCCCTCTCCTTCTCTGACTCAGTTTCTGTCACCCAACCCCCTTCATTCATTCTCTTTCCTGTCTTCATTTTGCTCATCAGTCGCTGTGTCCCACTCTTTCCATTTCCCTCAGCCCATGCCTTCGCCCTAACTAGAAACTTCATTCACTCTCTGCTTCATTTGCTCTCATCTTTTGGCTTTAGTTCTGCTCTCTTTGGTCACAAAAACACTTGTCATGTCACAGTCAAACAGGTACTGATGTTTTCCTTCATGCTTTTCACGTGTGTCTTGTTTGAGAGGGCCTTTGTGTCCTCAGGGTCATAAACACACTCTCCTAGGTTTCCAGCAATGCCTTTGTGTTTGGTATGAGGGAGGGATCTAATTTTCCCGAAGGATAACCAGTTATCATGGTGCTAGGCACTCTGTCCTCGGCTCATAGATGTGAAATGGTACTTCTGTCATTCCCATTCTCTTCCCCTGGGTCCCTGTTTGTGTAGCCCTATCTCACCTGTCACTTCACATCTGTCTCAGTCTCTCCCTGTGTCCCTGTCTCAACACTTATCTCCCAGGATCTCTGTGTTTCTGCTCTTGCATACTTCTTATTTACTCTGCCTCAGTTTCCCCTCCTGTCCAGCCCATCTGCCCCCATACCTTGGATGAGCTCACGCAGGGCGGCGTAGCGCCTGTTGCGCAGGCGGGTGCGCAGGGTGCGGGGTCGGGCTGTGCCCTGTCGGGCCACCTCAGCACAGTAGAAGTCTGCACGGTGGTCACCACGCAAGTGGCCAAAGCAGGCCAGGTGCTCCTCGCGGAGGCTTGTGCGGAAACGCTCCAGAAACACCAGCGGCTTCTCCTGGTACAGCTGGCCCAGGATGGCCACCTTCTCCTGCTCGGTCAGGTCCGGTTCTCCTTGCTGCTGGCTGCATACAGGCAGGCGGCTGGCAGCCACAGCATGCAGCATAGCACTCACTGCTGTGTTCTTGGCCTCAGGGGCATCACTGTCCAGGGCCCTTGGCACTCCTTCCACTGCTTCCACCTTGTCCAGGGGTTTGGGTGGAACCGGATTCCAGCTTAGCTCCCCCCAGTGCCCAGAACTGGGCTCTGTGCAGCCTGTAAGGAGATATCAGCCTGGTGACACTGGTTTCAGACTCTGGCCTCTAGAATTGTGAGAGAATAAATTTCTGTTGTTTTAAGCCACCCAGTTTGTGGTAATTTGCTACAGCAATAGAGGCTGAGCTTGAGAAATAGGAAGGAAATCGGAAAGAGGGGTGTCAGAGAAACCAAGGGAAAACTTTAAAAAAGGACAGAGCGGGTCAATAGCATTGTATTCTCCGTATCATCTAACAAGAAAAAGCCTGAATGGGGTGACACAGGGAGGTCACTGGGGACCTTAAGCAGGGCAGTACCTAAAGGTAAAAGCCAGACTGCAGTGGGTGGGAGGTGAGGAAATGGAAACAAGTATGGATGACTCTTTGGAAAAGATAGATGGTTTCTGGAAGGCAGCATGGGATTAAGGGATAGATTTTCTTTTTAGGTTAAAAGATTTTTTTTTAATTATGGAAAATTTCAAACTTTTACAGAAATAGAGAGCCCCCCACCCCTACTCCAGTCAGCCAGCTTCAACAGTGATCAGTTCTTGGCCAGTCATGTTTCAGCTTCCCAAACACACCTCACCCCACATGGCATTACTCTGAAGCAGCGGGATGGAATTTTAAGATGAGCAAAACAACAGCATTTTAGATATTCATAGGAAGGCATTAGGAGAAATAGATTTAAAACTCCAAGGAGAGAGAGATCGGGGGAGCACAGAAATGGATTAAGCACCCCGGGGTGGCAGAAGGGGCTGTGAACTTTGGGGGAAGAAGAATTGGAATGAAATGCAGGAAGCCGTTAGTCTGAGGCAAGTAGAGTTTGCATGGGGCAGGAGGAGGGTTAGTCTGGGGAAAGGGAAGGGTCAATTTGACAAAATGAAGAAGGTAACTTGAGAAACAGGTTGGCCGATGCAAAGGTAGAGTAAGCTGGGGGGACAGGGGCGAGGTTTACGTTAACCTGAGAATCAGCCTGGTAAGGAACTGGGTTAGGCTGGGACAAGGAAAAGGCTGGCCTGGAACGTGGAACAGATTAATTTCCGGGAAGGGGATGGAGTACAGGTCAGCCCGCAGCGAGAGGGGTTACTCTGGACAAAGTGCTGAAGGGGCAGGTAAGGCCGAAGGCAGGTGTCCCCCTATAAACAGTCCTCCTTCGCGCTCTGGGAATAACTTCCCAAAGACCCCGCAGCCCCACCCTCCCGCTGCCTCCGCGTCGCCTGGACCTCACCTTCATCGGGTGCCTTCGCCGCCGCCTCAGTCGCCACAGCCTCCATCCTGGTCTTCTACGCTTATTAACCGCCGCGGTAAACTCGGCCCGACGCCCTCAGCGGCCACTTCCGGCTGAGCACACCACCTGAGGTCCCGATGCTCCGCTGCGCCCAGAACCAAAGTTCCGGGCCGAAGGCTGACCTCCCTAAGCGCATGCGTGTCTCCCTCAGGTCCCACCCTCCGTAGCCAGGAAGGGAAAGGGCTCCAGGGTCAGAGAGACCCTTCCGTTCCGTTCGCCCCCACCCCCAAGCTGAATCGCTACGAAATTGGAATATCAGGAGGGAGATGAATTGTTGTTCAACCTGTTTACTGCTGTGACTCCAAGAGCCCGGCATACTTGATTTGGGATGGATGGTTGGTTGGTTGAGAAACCCTTCAGTGCCTCAAAGGGTTTGTCCTCCAGTTTAGAGCCGCGTCTACCCCTTTATTTCTTCACCACGTCAAAGAATAACTTATGAAGTCTTGTCTCTTGCACTGTCATCACACCCAGTCCCTGCTAGCATGAGATGGGTGGTGAGAACTGGGACAATCTGCAGATGTCTCCCTGGGAGAAAACCGTGGACTTAGAAAACTGATTTGCCTTAGGTAGGGACTCAGGTGTTTACCAAAAGTAGACAGACATGTCATCAGTGATCACCCTGAGTGTCCAGGGCTCTGATGGACTGAAAGGGCTAAGGGAGCTGCCACCCCATTCTGGAGGGCCAGGGAAGGCTTCTTTTGGGAGGACGGGATGCCCAAGCTAAGTCTTGAAAGATGACTTAGGACTAGAGGAAGGGGGGTAGGGAAGGGTGTCAGGCAGGGAGATGGGCGAGGCAAAGATCCAGAGGGGAGGATACACATGGGTAGTTCTGGTTGCTATAAGGACTGCAGGATGGCCCAGGAAGAGGAAGAATTCTAACTTGAAGGCCTTGTTTGGGCTGCAGAGGACTTAGAACCTCACAAATCTTTATGCAAAATTCCACATACATGTGGATTTGGCTCATGGCATTTGTAGATTCTTCAAGGGACTTGTGACTTCCCCAGAACAAACCACTGATCCAAGGGGGAGCAGCAAAAGATAAGCTAGTGAGGTCATCAGGGGCCAGGCATGGGGCCTTGTAAGCCATATTAAGTAGCCTGAGCTCCTTTATATCCTGTGGGGCAGGGGCAGGGGGTATCAGGGTAAGGGACTGGAGGTAAGGGAGATGTCAGGAGGCTGGTGCAGTAATCCAGACACTGGCCAGGAGCAGTTTGCATTCCCAGGATATTTCCCACAGGACAGGTGGGGACTACACGCAAACGTTATCACCATGCCAGCAGAGGGCGCTGTTGCCCAACACATGGACCAGCGTTGGTAAGGGGACTTCCCAGGCAGGAGGCCCTCCCTTAGCAGGGAGAGGGGACACTTACTCCAGCGTCCTTTTTAGTCCAAGTAGCCACCAACCTTGGCTCCTTATTACATTCAGACATCCCACCTTGACCTCAAAAGGATTCAGCCTCTTTTGTACTGTCTCCTCCACAAGGCTGAGATGAAGGGATGGGGCTGACCTGGCCACTCCTGTGCTCCAGCACTGTCCCTCACCAAGGGCCAGGAACACAGCATGTCCAGAGGGAATGAAGAACTGACTCAAATTGTTGGAGGAGGAGGAGGATGGGCTGTGGGAATGCAATGAGAATGTCCTCACTCCCTATTTTAAAATACTGTCCCTTCTCTAGGGAAGCCACCCCCACCCCCA